ATTAAATATATATATATATATATATATATATATATATACTTTCAGACGCGGAAAGAGAAAGGATACAAGAAATAGAGGAAGAGGAATATATACGACGGAAAGGGAGTTATATATGTAGGAATGCGGATTTAGGGAATCGAATCGCGGCATCTAGCCTGCCCGAACAAACGCTACATTCTTATCGAAAGACGTACAAAGTGAGAAGAATGGATAGAGACGATACGTGTGATTGCGCTCATTTCGCGCTCTATTCAAAGACGCCGGATTTACGCGAGAGACGAGAGAGAGAGAGAGAGAGAGAGAGAGCGAGAGATAAGTATAGTGACGCTGCTCGCGGACAGGGAAACGCGAGCGAGGAGGGATTCGCGAATCGGAAGCGAACGTCGGTATCGAAGGGGGAAATGATCGCGCGGATATTGCCACGGAATGCGTACTCCGCGTCTCTCGAGTTCCCCGATGAAGTTTTACGGAATACGAAAAAAAAAAAAAGAAAAAAGAAAAGAAAAGAAATCTCTGTAGTGTCTCCTCGTCCCCCGACGATAAACGTCGACATTCAATGGATTTATCGAATTCCCATCTTTGCCCATCTTCCCCTCCCCCCCCCCTCTTCCCCTCCCCCCTACAACCCCTCCGCATCCGTTCCCCACCTCCGTCGCCGATCCCGTAAGTGATGTAATTAATGTACGTTGCCTAATGATTGTTATACTGAAACGTTAGAACGACGAAGAAATTTTATCGAGTGCGCTACTGGAGAGCGGTTTTGTTTTTCTCATCGTCGGCGACTGGCGGTGCCGGCGCCATGTCCGTCGATCGCACTGCGGTCTTTCCGCTGCCAACCGCTTTCGCGAGAGCCGTTTTGCTTCGAGGTCCTCGCGACGAGGGAGACCAAGCAGGGATGTCCCGGCGAGTCCGGAGACACACCCCCGAGAGAAAGGGATGCGTCCGCGAGACAAGGCAAGGGCATCGTTCGCCGACGTCATAAATAGTACACACACCGGCTGTCTTTCACGTTCTACGATTGAAGAAGCCGAGCTCTCGATCCCCCCCCACTCCCCCCCCCCACCGAGGTGAGATTTCGCGAACGAATTATCGCAAGATAATTTGGTCGATAACGCGGCGACGTAACGCGGCTGCTAAGACGTGAATGGAAATGTAACGCGTTTTTCAAGTGGGAGGCAGAACGCGCTTAGCTCAAGTGGGTTCTCTATCAAGAAGCGGGCCGAAATTTTGTGCGGGATTTTTCAAACGAATGCTGGGGGGGGGGGGCTCGGCCGTAAGCGAGTCGATTGGATACGTTGGCCAAGGTACAAATGTACATAGGAGCATAATGTTGTTATT